CGCTCCACTTCATCATTGACAGCTTGTGCCTTTTCCGGACCTAACTTTCTCCGTTTTTGCTTGATCGGTTTAAAGGTAGGGTCGATGTTGAGCTCGTGACTTGTTATCGAGGGATCAATCCCAGACATATCGCGTACCGACCAGGCGAATGTCGTATTTCGGCGAAGAAGTCTTACGAGCTCAACCTTAATCTCCTCCTTCAGGTCAGCTCCGATTCCTACGCATCGTTCGGGATCGCTTTCGTCGATGTTTACTAGGACGACGAGCTCTCGCTTAGGCCCTTCCTGAGATGGTAAATCGACTTGAGTTACGGGTAAGATCGTGAGGCACGCCTTGGCTGGAACCATGGATTTGAATCGGAGCTTGTGTTCGGCCACGAAGTAGAGTCTCGACATCTCTTGAGATCCTCGAATAGTTTTTACCCCGAACATTGTTGGGAACTTGAGGCATTGATGATAGGTTGATGGCATCGCCTTCATAGATTGTAGCCAAGGTGTTCTCAGGATCACGTTATAGATGGCAGGTTTGTCGATGACAACAAATTTGACGAGGCGGGTCGTCTTCGCCGCGTAGACTGGGAGTCTGATCGTTCCGATCGAGTAGACCATATCTCCATCGAATCCTGTGAATGGCTTAACTGACAATTTGAGGTGATGGTTTGCCAGTTCCATCTTGTCAAGAGTTTCTTTGAAAATCAGGTCTACCGAGCTTCCTGTATCGACCAATATCCACGACACCTCGCAATCTGCCACCCGGAGCTCGATCACAAGCGGGTCGTTATGCAGCATGTCGACTCCTTCCGTGTCGGCTTCGGAGAATATGATCGCATCGCTTTCAGCAATTTTGGGGTTTTTTACTCGCCATTTTTGTGCAAGCATGATTTGGCGGCCGTACTTTTTTATTGACCTAACAGAGTCGTTGCATGTCGATAAGCCTCCCATAATCATGAACACCTTTTTTAGAGATGCCGGAGGAGTGTCTCCTCGAGGTTGGTTACCCCGATCTCTCTTTGCGAGGTCGTTGTTGGGTTGCTCGCTCGCTAGGGGAAGAGGTGGGAGCTGCTCGGTAGGAACCGTCGGTTGAGCTTCGTTGTTGCGCGGCGTGGTGTTTTGGGGCTGGTTTGCTAAGGCAAATAAGCTTGTAGCTCGCGACACATCGCAGTCGGATGACCGTACTTGTTGTGATAGTCGCAGAAAGGTCATGTCTCCCCGCGGTCTCCCCGTTGCCAGGTGTTTGATTGGTTTTGATACTGGCGTTGTTGTTGAGTGCTGATGTTGTATGTCGCTCCTTGGTGGCTGTCACCTCGATAGTTATTGTCGAGGTTCTTGATAATCTTGTTTGAGGATTTCTTTGTGAGGCTGCTGCCTTGGCGTCGTTTTTGCTGGCGAGGCAATCTCTTTCTCTTCCTCGTCCTCGATGTATAAGGTGGCGCGGTGAAGCGCGTCTTCGAGAGTTCGGGATTTACTGAATTTGAGGCTGTCCCGAAACTTCGTATCAATTCGCAGGGCGTTTTGAAGAGCCGAGAGTGACGCCTCATCGGTCACGGTGATACGAGAAACTATCGCATTGAACCTTCCGATGAAAGATCGAAAGGATTCTTTTTCGCCCTGTTTGATTTGGAAAAGATCGGCGCTGGAGATTGCGCCTTGGGCGTACATCATGTATCTCTTGAGGAAGGCGGTTGACAACGCTTGGTAGCTGTCAACCGAGTTCGCTTTTAACTTAGAGAACCAAACGAGAGCCGCACCAATGAGATTTTCGACAAACAGCTGGCTGCAACCAGCATCTTTCTCTTCGGGGTGAATCGTGCTCGACCCATTTGAATGTTGAACGCAGTCATAAATTGGCTTGGATCTGAGTTGCCGTATACGTCGAGAGATTAAACTTCACTTGAGTCCTTATCGGGAAATCGGTGATTGGGGTCGTAAACGGGGTGTTTTGGCTTTCTTTCAGCACGCGAACGATCTCAGGCACCGAGCTGGTAACTTGATGTACTAGCGAGGTCATAGCTCGCAATTTGGCCCTCATTTCGTTCATTTCTTCATCTTGCTGTGGGTTTCTAATTTGAAGTCGACGCGTTTCGTGTTCGGGAGCTCCGATATTCACCTCGTCACAATTCGAGGTTGGGTGATTTTCTGTTGTCGGTGGTGCGGGAGAGTCTCCGAATAAGGCGCGCTGTACACGCTGAATTTCTTGCGCTCGTCTCTCCGGTGCTTGGGTCTCTGACGAGTGCAATACATTGACCTGGTCCTGACAAGAGAGTTGTGCTGCAGCTAGCTCGTTCAGGCGAGCACTTGTCTGATGATTCAACTCTTCCATTCGAGCCATCATTGTTGCGAATAATGCTGTGACGTCGGCAGGGGCTGGTGTGCTTCGGTTTACATCTTGTGCCTCTGGGTGTAAGGTCGCGTTTTCTACGGGATTCATCGTCGGTGATCGCCTATTCGAGGTTTCTGGATTGTTAACTGGTGACACGTTAAGTCCCTCCTCGGCAGTAGTCGATGTGGGCAGACTGATCGTTTCGTTGGTTTGAATTCCTGACATTATCGAGCCCCTCTTTGCGTAGAAAGAAATCTCTTAGCCCCACGGTGGGCGCCAATTATTGTTTATTATCCGCACACAAGGTTAATTCGGTAAATATAACTAGGTAAAGCTCGGAGATTCTTGTTAGATAGAGGTGAGGTCGATGTGATCTCGTCGAGGTCTTTTAAGCGAGATCTACTAAGCGAGGTAAGAGTTAGTGATCACAAGTATCGAGTATTTTAGTGTTTATTTCAGATTACGGATCCCGTAATAAATGTGGTTACAGGGCTATTTATAGTGTTCAAATCAGGTTACATCTCGGTCAGAGTAGCTTGGTTATTCACACTGGATGTACTCCTAGTTTCTACTGCAATAGAACAGTGATGTAGTTGTAATATAAAGGATTCGAAATTCAGAGGACCAGTGTTACTCTATGACTTTTCGAGGATTGAATTAAAGCTAAGACGAAAGATGGTTTGTTTGTAACGTTAACGACAAGTAAAAACAAGCTAAAAACGATTTCAATTCAAATTTAAAACAAGCACTAGATCAAGGTAATTCGCAGGAGTTTCAGAGATGAGAATCGAATGACTATTCAGGGCACAACTTAAATGCAGGTCTCGAACTCAAACATAAAAGCTTATCGATCCACTGTCGTGATCTCGATAACTTTATCTAATAACCTAAATTCTAAACTGTCGTTTGAACTTAGAAAATTGCAGACAAGCATTAACAAGCAGGTTTGATCTGTTCACGATTTGCCTTAACTTCAACTGTCGTTGGCTAAGGACAAATCGCTCACCAGTGTTTATTCTAGCAACCTATTACACTTTTGATGAATAGATTAACCTATGAACATAAATTGAATGGCCAATTCAACCTAAGCGTTAAGTCTAACAAAGGTGAAGACAATCGATTTTAAACCTTATTTGCATCCAAATCTCTAACTCATGAAATCCTTTGAAAATCTTAATCTAGCTAAGAGATCTACTCAGACATGGAGGAAAGAAACACAGCAACATATGGAAAGGAATTCATGAATTAAAATCGCAGAAGAGATAATAGGGTTCAGAATTCTTCTCAAAGTGTAGCAGATTTCTTCTCCCAAAAGCTTACAAGTAAAAACTCTCTGGTTCAGAAAATTGTAAAAAGAAAGCGTAAAAAGTCTGTAGGGTTTAGGGTTAGGATAAAACACAGGCGGCTCTTGGCTTTTTATTCCATCTCACGCAACTTAGGATTAGGTAAAATTGTTTCCTTATTTTTCTCCAGAGGTTGGAGCAGGTGCTCCACGAAGGGTCCAAACCGGGAGCAGGTGCTCCGCGGATGATTTCTCCAAAAGCGTATGAAATAGCTCCTTATTGCTCAGATTCATCTCCTTTTGCTCCAATGCCTTCTAAACACTCCAATCCTCTGATAAGGCCTCTAAGTCACCCGAAACTTCCTGAAAAGACTCCAAAAACTCCTAAAACAATTAGTAAACACAGGTTAGAATAAGCCAAAATCTCCACTCATCACTTGGGCGGCCGGGTAGATAGACCTGACCGACCATCTATCGGAGTATCGTGCTGGCGAGCTGTTTCATCTGCATCGACGTGGCGAGATGTTTCATCCGCATCGACATGGCGAGCTGCTCCTTCAACTTGCGGAGTTCATCTCTTAAACGACCCCGTTTTAGCCTGGCGACTGGACCCTTATCCACTTTCGATATGTTGGGCTTTTACCAACCTCCCAATGGGCTTCATCGAAATTTACCAAATAGGGGCTGTGCTCAGCCCACATACAACATAACCTATTAATCATAGAAGAGCATAAAGAATACACTGTCTCGAGGTATATAGCATTAATTGCGTACTCAAATATAGCATATGGTAAGTTTAAGAAAACATAGTTTATGGTGTTAATTTCTTTTATAGCTATCTATAACATGCGAATATATGTGGCTATAAGTCTATAACAATGTTGATGTGATCTGTGGGTATTACAATGTTGATGTAAATCTGTGGCTATTACAATGTTGATGTGAATTAGTTATGTTTTGAAGCCATAAATCAATTTATGCTGGACACACCTACTACTTGACCCACTACATAATTTTTATGTCAATACCACAGATTAGCTTACTTTTAGAGTTTTAGTTTACAATCTTCTAGTTACTTCTATAACAAAAAAGAAACAAATCTTCCCGTTAATAGAAAGGTAATTTATCTAAAATTGTTGAAATATTATTTTTAAAAGTATATAATAATATTTGAACATGTAATACAGCCATAACTTTTCATAAATATTGCAACACATAGATGCTTTGGTGAATTATTTCGGTTAGAAAATAATCATAATCATATGTACCTATCGAATAATTTGGTGGGTTTGAATTGAGAAGTAGTTATTACAAAGAATGAGATTGATCAACCACCAAGAAGCAAAGAATCAAAAATCAGCATGAATGCCAATAAATTGATACAAAAGATCTAGGCAAGAATCAGAATCAATATCAAATATAGTAATGACACTAATCAACATAATACAAAACAAGTTTCTCAATTTAACAAGGAAAAACAGAGATTACCAATATATGACGTTCCACTCTTTTCTTTTGTTTTATTACAACAAAATAAGACCAAACCAAAAGAAGAAGAAAAAGAGAAGTTGTAAGCATTTTGCAAAGAATGAAGAAGGGTTACAACTCTGGAGTTGTGAGTTTTAGAACAAGGCATACTTCTGGGTCCAGCTTCGAGCCATGGCTTCGTATTTCGCCTTGTCGGTTTTGTATATGTGAGCTATCTCCGGAACGAGAGGATCGTCAGGGTTTGGATCTGTGAGAAGAGAGCACACAGAGAGAAGCACCTGCAACACCAAAAATGTTTAGTAATTTGTGCTATCTATGTAACGGAGCCAAAAGCCTTGAGCTTCACTGTATATTACCAAAACGGATTTGAGTTATTGAAAATCTTGAAAAACAGAGATGACTTTTTTAGTGGTTTCAAACCTTAGAGATAGTAAGGGCAGGGCTCCATTGGTCTTTCAGGATATCCAAACAGATGTTTCCATTGCTGTTGATGTTTGGGTGAAACACTTTGGTTCTGAATACAACCTGAAAACATTAACCAAACACAAACAACAAAAGGAACAAGAAAGATCAAAACTTTATCTTGGACCAGATCAGAAACAACCCAATCATGATGAGCCCTCTGGTCGATTGATCTTATATTAGGAAGAGGCTATAAAGTTTTGTGATGTGGAAGTTATTTACCTTGGGAGGTTTGAAAGGATAATCCTGAGGGAAATGGATATTGACAAGGAAAACACCACCCGAGTATGGACTTTCGTTTGGACCCATTATCGTAGCTTGCCAGTGAAACATATCTTCTCCTGTTGGACCTGAGAAAAATATCAAATCTTTTGAAGGAAAATGTAGTAATATGACTTTGATGCTTGGCTTATTGTGTCTTTGCATCAGATAAATACAATCAAAAGTTTCTCTTTACCTGCACTGCATGATACAGGAGGGTCTCTCTGCAACTCTTTTAGTTCTTTCAATATCCGTCTTGTTGCCATCGTGCTGCAGAGTGTTGATTCAAAGGAATCTAGCACTAGAGAGAAGCTGAGGGGAAAAACCAAAATCTTTATTAAGATATTAGTAATCAGAAACAGAGTAAAAACTCCCAAAAGACAATAACTTCTCTTCACCCTCCAAAGCTCTCTCTTCTTGGTTGGATAGGTCTCACAAACGAAACCTAATCCTTATTTATAATAAAACGTAAAAGTAAAACACTCTAGGAAAAAAAAGAAGAGGCCTGTTTTTAAAGCGTGAACCGTAAGCAGAGATTGGTGATTCTCTTGCAAACAGGAATGGTTGGACTCAGATTTTAATTTTACAATTGTTTAAGCAATATAGGTGTCATTGCAAAAGTCTCTTTTCGAGCCGCCCGCTTTGCCCATAAAGGTAATGGAGAAAGAACCATTAATCTGTGTTTTGATTCTGAAAGAGAGACTTACCTTGAAGCCGGATGGTCTTACATGCTTGATGCACTATACTGTATCTATTGAACGGTCTTTAATGGGACTTGTAAAAGTACTTGTTCTCCAGAAAGGATCTGAGAATCAGAATTTTTAACATAAAGAATAGTTTTTACTATATCCTTTGTTCCTGTCTTCTTGTCCATGTTCATTGGACCAGAAAGGTGATGTGATGAGCATAATAAGTTTACGGCTATGATCAAATCAAACTTACCAACATTCAAATCACAATCAAGAAAGAGAAGGCTCTTTATCTCTTCTTGCGACCATCTCTTGAACCTGCATATAGACTTTGGAGAATAATCTCTAATAGAATCGAAAGCAAACGTAGGATTCATATATATATATACAGATTCGGAGCGCAAACAAGAATACAACCCAAAAGTTTCAACACTTGACCAATGAGTTCTTCTGATATGTCAGTTTTAAAGACTACAAAGTACAAGCAACAGCTTCCTGTTATATGGAAATGAGAGAAATGTGTCTGCGCACTCGGCAACAAGGATTAGTAAACTATCCTTCTCTAGAATCTTCTTCTCTAGAATCACAATATAGAACAGCCTTTCTGAGTTTTTCTCTTCTTCCTCTTCTTGTTTTTGGGTGGCTGGAGAACTACTTTGATAGCCGCATCAAAGACAGCTTTTACATTCTGCAAGATCGAAGGAGGTCTTTGTCAGCGAGGTTTTGTTTGCGGTTTTAAGTGTGGTGAAACTCAAGATAATGAATTTAAGGTACCTGTTGTGTCTTTGCACTGCATTCTATATAAGCAGAAGCCCCAACAAGCTTCTTTAGCTCTTCACCCTTGGGACGGATAACGAAAGAAAACATAAGAAGAAGAAACTTACTCAAGAAAACGGTCCGCGAGAAGAAGTTGAAGAAAGGTACCTGGGAAGTAGATATAGGCACAGCAGCTCCAGGGTGCTCAAGAAAGTACTGTTTATCATCTCGTAGATCTGAAAGAGAATCCATTAATCAGAAGAATTCTTGCGTTTTTGATGGAGAATAGATGAAATGAAAGAAGAACCAACCGAGCTTTGTTCCAACAAGGATGATGGGAACACCGGGAGCATAATGTCTCAGTTCAGGAACCCACTGGACAAAACACCAAATGGATTGTATCAGAATCACAATACTCACTAAGCTACATTGGAGAATTGAGATACTCGAAAAAATTTCCACAGGAGGACCAAAAATTGATGATATTAACCTTTTTAGAAACATTTTCGTAGCTAGCTTTGCTGACGAGAGAGAACGCAAGCAAGAACACATCAGCACCGCGATAGCTCAACGGTCTTAGTCTATTATAGTCCTCTTGTCCTGCGTTTCATCAAAGCCAGAAAGTTAAAGAAGAAGAGACACAACAAGAAAAAGAAAGAAACAAGATCAAAGCTCACTTGCCTGCAGTGTCCCACAATCCTAAGTTGATGGTGTTCCCATCGACAATAACATTGGCGCTGAAATTATCAAACACCGTTGGCACATAATCCTGTCAAGACAACATCAATGGATTGTCATGAAGAGATTAAAAACATCCCAAAATAAACAATTGGGATGTTATGAAGCAGGCAATCTCAAATCATAAATAATAGTAAAGTAACATCACTGAGACAAAGATCCCTCTTAAGTTTCTAGTGATCCTAGCAGAGTTTACGGATTACTGGTTCGAATCTACATCAATGGATTGTCTTAATCTCAATCATATAGATCAGTAAAGGTAACATCACTGAGCCAAAGGTCTTTGAACTAATATCCTCTAAAGCTTGTGATGATCGTTATAACACAGTTATAACTGTGTTATGTAGCAGACAATCTCAAAATCCCAAATAACAGTAAAGTAACATCACTGAGACAAAAGATCCCTCTTAAGCTTCTAGTGATCCTTGCCAAAGTTTAAGGATTACTGGGTAGAATCCACATCAATGGATAGTCATAATCTCAATCTTATAGATCAGTAAAGGTTACATCTTTGAGCCAAAGATCCTTGAACTAATATCCTCCAAAGCTTGTGATGATCGTTATAACACAGTTTTGAAACTACCCAAAAGGCCAAAACCAACCAGATGAACAAAAAGAACAATCCTTTGAGAAACCCAACTGTATAAAGCAAATTTCATCGGATTCAAATAGAAAATTGGAAACTTTTTTACAATTAGTTCGAAATCGAGAAAGAAAATGAGTGAACTCACAGTAGGGAAAGTGTTGCTGGTGTAGGAGATGAGAAGACAAGTCTTGCCGACGGCGCCGTCACCGACGGTGACACATTTTATAAACCTTGAAGCACTCATCTTCTCGCCGTCAACTTCAAAACCCTAATTTTGATTTGAGCAGAGGATTTGGTAAAGAGAGAGAAAGAGTGGTTCTTTAGGCAGCTAGGAGACAAAATAATAGCTGCTGAGACCGAAAGTCTCTGGCAGACTTTTCTCAGTTCTTTCAACTATCTCACATGCATCGCATTTGAAATTTTTTTTGGTCTACTTCTTTTACATTCCCTTTTTTCTTGGTTTTTTTTTTGGTAGGCCAATTCATTGTATTTAGATCAGAGATAAACCCACATACAAAAAAAAAAAGATCAGAGATAAACCCACATACAAAAAAAAAAGATCAGAGATAAACCCACATACAAAGCATCCGAAGGAGGAAGACAACAAACCTACTATTAGTAAAACAATCTCATCAAGAGTCACGTAAGAAAGTTTTTTTCCTCTCTCTTTTCTCTCATCGATATCTTTGAGAGAGAGAGGAGTCCGAAGCTCCAATGCCATAAAATAGAAAAAAGTAGGCTAAAATGTCATAACTCTAATAAATAATTTAATTTTGATTTTTTTTTTAAATTCAAAAACACATTGATTATCCTCATACATCTATAATATTACCAATCCAACCATAATTTTACTCACTCATTCCACTCAAACCCAATAACCCGACCCAACTTACATTTATTCTTAAATAATTAAACAATAAATTCACGTAACTTTTTTTAATCAACCACTATCTTCTCTTTCTTTAACCTTTTCTTCTTCTCCACCACTTGGATAATCTCCTTTCTCTGTCTTTTCTTCTCACAATTTCTCTTCTCAACCTCACTCACTCTTTTCTCTTCTCCCACTCCAGATTCTCCTCTCTCTCTTTTTTAGTTCACTATTACCAGGAAATCAGCTGATTAATTCACCTCGGTGAAATCAAATAGAGATGCAAGCAATGGAGGCTGGGAAGAGTGACAAGGAGGAATCTCACGTTCTTAAGCTCAATATCATCTCGGCGCAAGGACTCAAAGAACCGACAGGATTGCAGACTTTGTTGATTCCTCCAACAAGCTCCGTATTTGGATTGATCGATCAAAAAATTCTGATCCGTAGGACTCTTCGGGAAGACCCCGTCTCTCCAAACGCCGAGGATCTCGTTCTACTGATCGGTGAGGATTCTGCTGCACTTGGATTAGGCAAACAGAAGCTTGCTTCTTGGCTTTATTTCCGATTGTCCTTGGAGTCGTTCTCTTCATCCTCAACATAGTTTGGATCGATCATTCCACCAGTTTTGGAAAATGCATCGACACCGTCTCTAGCATCTCCGATACACCGGAGGTATGCATAAATTACAGTAACTGAACCAATTTCAGTTTCCTTGAGGGAATTATTTGACTGTACAACCCACTCTTTTCGCAGGTTGCTATGTTAATGCTTATCCTCATATTTGCAACGGTACATAGTGGTTTAGCTGGTCTCAAGGATATAGGAGATAAAATCATAGTTCAATGAGCATTTTGTGTTCTATTTTCTGGCATCTCTCTTCCTTTAGCTATGAACACCATTGTGAGTACTCTCTTTCTCTAGATGGTTGGATAAATCGTTTGGTGTTTGGCACATATACCCTGGATTGGAAACACAGTAGTTGCATCAGCTTCTCTCGGTTTGATTGCACAACATTTGTTTGGGGCTTGGAATGAAGACATGAGATTACATAAAAGATACAGAGAGGCTTTTGAAGGCATCAAGAAGAGAACAAGTGTGGTTCCTTTTGCTGCCATTTTTGAAGGACGCCAAGTTTGAGGATTACTACAAAGAATTTAAGTAAGGTAGATTACCAGAGTTTGTAAGTTCTTTGGTGAGATGTTATCTTGGATGTTTTGTTTTATCTATTATGTATACTTCACAAAACAGGAAGAAAAAAAAGAAATCAGCTATCGTTTTTTCATTTTTTGTTATATTCTATTTTATTTATCTTTTAATTCAAAAGCAAAGATGGACAATTAAGTATAACTATGGACAATTAAATACAATTATATTACAATTAAATACAATTGTGGACAACTAAGTACAACTATGTACAACTAAAACTAAGTATAGTTTAGTACAAGTGGTATAACTATATAATTTAAAATTATAATTATCATTAATTAAAAAAAAGACGTATGTAGACAAAAAATAACATGTGCGCAGTCAAAGTAACATTTGCGCCGTCAGTTTTGTACATAGTTTTCCATACTTGTCCAGTTGTCCAAAAATTTTCATTGTTGTCCAAAAATTTTCATTGTTGTCCTTTGGCGATTATAACATTTTTCGAGTTGTCCCTTGATATAAATTATTATTTTGTAGTTGTCCACATGATTTTTGACTATTGCAGTTCATTTATAAGGTTTTCATAACACAAATTATAAAAAAAAACATATATTTACATCTTTTCCATCAAAAGAGTGTTAACATTATAAAAGTTTTCCTTATATCACAAGGGATGTTTGATGTGAAACCAATAATATGTATTAAAAAATGATAATTTTATTTTATCTATGATATTAATATTATTCCTTATAGTTGAAGGCGTTTGCATTTCTTAAATAGATATTTTCTTTACATGTTTAATTTAATATATTACTATTTTTATTAAACTAAGGAGTTGCATATAGTTGTCCATACTTGTCCAGTTGTCCATTGCTTATTCGCATCCACAAGCAACTGCCAATTCCCAGAAGAAAGAAGCCTCTATAAGCTAGAGCACACGTGCGCCGTCAAATGCGTTGTCAATTTTGTACATAGTTGTGCCAAATTGTCCAGTTGTCCAAAATTCTTCATAGTTGTCCTTTTTCGATTTTAGCATTTTTCCAATTGTCCCTTAATACAAATTATTATCTTGTAGTTGTCCACATGATTTTCGACTATTGCAGTTCATTTACAAAGTTTTCATAACACAAATTATGCAAAATCATATATTTACATATTTTCCATCAAAAGAGTGTTAACATTATGAAAATCTTCCTTATATCATAAATGGTGTTTGATGTGAAACCAGTACTATGTATTAGAAAAATGATAATTTCATTTTATCCATGTTATTAATAGTGTTCCTTATAGTTTAAGACGTGTTTGCATTTCTTAAGTAGATATTTTCTTTATATGTTTAATTTAATTTAATTATAATTTTTATTAAATTAAGGAGTTGCATATAGTTGTCCATACTTGTCCAGTTGTCCATTGCTTATTCGCATCCACGAAGCTAGAGCACATGTGCGTCGACAAAAATAGACATGTGCGCCGTCAAATGCGCCGTCAATTTTGTACATAGTTGTACCAAATTGTCCTGTTGTCCAAAATTCTTGTTGTTGTTCTTTATCGATTTTAGCATTTTTCCAGTTGTCCCTTAATACAAATTATTATCTTGTAGTTCTCCATATGATTTTCGACTATTGCTGTTCATTTACAAAGTTTTCATAACACAAATGATGCAAAATCATATATTTTTGTCTTTTCCATTAAAAGAGTGTTAACATTATCAAAGTCTTTCTTGTATCATAAAGGATGTTTGATGTGAAACCAATAATATGTATTAGGAAAATGATAATTTTATATTATTCATGCTACTTCGACAATGTATTCAGCTGTAAGACAAATCATTCTTGTATATTGTAAGGAATATAGTTATATCATTTGTACAATTTGTACTAGTTGTCCCATTTGTACCAGTTATCATCTATTTCATAGTTGTTCCATTTGTACCAGTTGTCTTCTATCTCACAGTTGTTCTATTTGTACCAGTTGTCTTTTTCTGCAATGAACTCGGGTTTCAATTATAATCAACCTGAAAATCACTATAATTTAACAATTATACTCGGCAAATTACTAATGCAAAAACCTAGTCCTCATATAAAATTGGGTTATCAATCCAATTTGCATACCAAAACAAGTAATTTTAGCAAATCCAATCCCTAATTGTGAAATCCCCAAATAAAAATCTCATTTAGTTTTGAAGTTCCAATAATGATGGAGGTGCGGGGAAACAAGAACAAGAAATTAATTGCAGAGAATAAGGAGGAGAAGAAGGAGAAAGAGGCGAAGAAGGTTTGATGGTGAAAATCAGATTTTGGTGATTTTCGATAGATCTCGACGATGAGGATGAGGAAGAAAAAATAATTGTTTTTTGAAAATTAATTTTGTTTTAATTTATTAATATTAAAAATTAATTAAATAAATATTTTTCTACATAATTCAAAATGCCACAACAAATTTCATTAAGGACAAAATCGGTATTTTATATGCTTTATGGCAGAGAGACTCGCTTATGGCACGCAAGACTTGCCTTTTCTAATTTATGACATATGAGCAATTAATTCGAGAGAGAGAGCACTTTTTCTCTCAAATTTTGATGTAAATTCCGATCATTTGATCGGTTTTCTTTTTCGTTTTCATCGGATAATAAACTTCGGACATAGATCGGATTTTGTCTTCCGGCTAAGTCCAAATTTACCTTTTCTGATCTCTCTTTTTTTTGGCTGTTTTATCTTATCGTCGGATTATCCGTTTTTCTTCTTAATCTGTTTCAGGTTTTTTTTCTCTCTTGGAGTAATTTTTCGCTGAACCCTCTTGCTTGTCACTCGAAGCAACGATGGACACTGCTCAGACCAATAAATTGGGTCTGGCAACGGCGGAGCTTCCTCGGAGGTTGAGATCTGGAAGAAGTTTTTGAAGTGTTCATAAATTTTATTGCGGATTCTCTTTTCTGACGACTCTTATCCAAAAAGTGAAGATCGGCAAAAGGTTGACATCAAGGTACAGAATCTCTTGCTGTAGAAGCTGAAATCGCTGGTGGTGAAGCTTAATGTTTAACGGCGTTGAAGCAGCCGGCGGTGAAGAGTGGAGGCGGAAACAGCATCGTATTGCAGACAAACCCGATGCAGACACGTGTTTTTTTTAATAGCTTTATAACTTAACGCGCGTATGTCCACGTATTGATTTCACGTGTACTTTGGGCTCGTTTTGTTACTGGGCTCTAATGATGTACTTTGTATGTTCTAGACCTTTGGGCTTTAAATGAAATGTTGGTCGACAAAAAAAAAAACTAAACAATCTCATTTCATTATTTAAAATAAGACATACAATTAGACTATGTGTAATGATTTCTCAAATCAACACTTTCTTTTTCTTTTTTTAACATTTTACATCATTTTTTTTTCTATATAATAATTCAACATACACTCATTTTTTACCATCTAAAGACTATATTAAAATTTGAAGCCAAACATTACAACAAAACCGGCAAAGATTTCACACATTAAATTTTTAAACTTTGTAAAAATTTTGTTTAATAAAATTCAACATCCTACCTTACTATTTAAATAATTTATCAATATATTTCTAAAAAAGACATATGTATTTTTTTCAATATCCATCATCTCTCTATTTTTGTTCTTGTTTTTAATTACAAATATGCATACACGCGCAGGCTTTTGTTTGACAGGTTTTTTACTTTTTTCAGTAACCGTTATTTAACAAATTGTTCATGCAAGAGAAGTAAACAAGGTACACGTTATATGTATACAGATAAGTTTTAGTGAGGCAGATGAAATCTCTGATGCTTAAGAAAGCAAAAAGATTACATAAGCTTAAGCATTTTCAGCAAGAGAGGTAAATTCAATGCGCATAAGTCACAGGCCACTATCCTCGCAGGGGCAGCTTATGAGGGGGAATAGAGGGTGTGACGACCTGGGGTCAATAATTGAAACACCCATATTTTTAAATATGTTTGAAAATACAGAAAATAGATAAAAAAATTAAAAATAAAACTAAAAAGATCCATAAAAAATTTATACATATGTTTTTCATAATAAAATTTACAAAAAAACTTAATATAAAAAACTTTTAAAATTTTCATTTAACAAAAAATTCAGAAATTTCAAATTATAAGGCCAAAAACAAAGTTTGTCCTAAGACTCATGGAAATGTTGAGCCGGTCTTGCGTCCTAGTAATTTATAATGAACACAACAATCATCGAAATATCAATGGTGTCGCATAAACCAAGTTATATATTCATTTCTCAGCATAGGCATTGGCTCACATTTTTTCCTTTGTTAATCTGATGGTGTTAGCCTTTGATTGAGAGAAGTCGATGTGTGTTTACCCGCCAAATTAGGCTCTTCAAACAAAAACTTTAAATTTAGAAAATTCAACGAAACAAAGAAACAAAAAAAAAATTGAAAGGAGAAAATAAGGAAATAAAAAGGAGAGTTATTCAGAGTGTTATTTACAACAAACGGTGGATTCTCAAATTGAAACGCGTGAATTTCTCTCAAACCTTATGTTCTTTGCGAAACATTCTCTTATTTCATTGTCTTTTTTCAGAGTCTATTATTTGAGCTCTCCTTGTTTTTATTCCTCTGAGAAGGAAGAGATCCCTTTGGTTGGGTTCTAGTTTTGATATTTTAAAAAATAAATCTATCAGAAAAGAAAAAAAAAAAAGAAAGAAGAAAGATAGTCAAATGAGAATACATTCTTCTAATCATTCATGGCTTTTACTAGCCATTCTTGTGATTCTCCTCTCCTTCTCTGGAGCTCTATCGAGTGCCAACGAGGAGAAGACTACCTCGAAGAACAAGAAGAAAGAAGTAACTTATGATGGAACGTCTTTGATCATCAATGGAAAAAGAGAACTCATTTACTCTGGCTCCATACATTACCCTCGTAGCACTCCTGAGGTAAATCATTTCGCTAAATTTTATAATTTTGTTTTTGTACTTAACTATCGAGAATGTTGTGTTTAGATGTGGCCAAACATTATCAAAAGAGCAAAACAAGGCGGTTTGAACACGATTCAGACATATGTTTTTTGGAATATTCATGAATATGAACAAGGGAAGGTAAATTATAGACATCATTTTGGAAAAAAATAAAGGAGAAAGGCTTCATCATTGTTTTGAGGATTTTGGTTTTTGCTTGTT